AATAGCTGTACAGCTCCAAGTTTACCTACACTGTAACCTGCTTATGTAGGTGGTATTTTGAGCCCTGCATAGCTTATATTAAGTGCGCTCTCTTTTCAGAAGTGCTGCTTGGAAGCCATTACTCATGTGGATGCCTCTGAAGATTTCTTATATGCACACAATAATCATTTCTTTTCATATAAATGTTCATATACACTGTAAAAGGGTGACTAATGTCTAAGGTTGGTATAAGTAGGCCTGGCCATTTTTCATACCTTTGAAGTGGAGTACGGATGGCATTAAAGTATATGCTATGAAGTCTTGTAGTACAAAGAAAAAAGAAGGGAATTTATGGTATGCTTTCAACCTGTGAAGCATACAAATGTGGCCATGTGTTGTAGCTGTTGATACACTGTGTAGTGATTTAATTGGTTTAGAAAGATCTCCCCAAGGGGTTTGACCTCATAGTTGTGTGCAGTGAGGGATGCATATTCCACAGCATATTTAGTAGGATAATCAGAAATTGATGTCATTTTTATCAACAAATGTTTGGAGCAAAATCACTCATCATTTTCCCATAATGTACAAATAATAATATCTTATTGATGCAGGTTAAAAGTAAGACTTTTTTTCAGAGAATCATTTGCAAGTCTCAAACCTCCTCACTTTGGGAAATACTGGTCAAGCATAGAACAAAATAAAGTGCTTCTTTTACTGAAAAAATTCTCCTTGTGGTAAAAATGCAAAGAATTATGTATATTTTGCATTGGGCAAGTGAAAAGTTGGTTCGGGCAAGTAGAAATGACCATGTGCTTGCCCGATTATACAAGTGGTTTTTGAAAACTTGTCCAATCCTGCTGCATGCACACAAATAGACATGCACACACACCAAACAGAAATACACACACTCCAGCAACAATGCTTCACTGCCTTTAAAAAAAATATATAGATACTAAAGGCAATGTAAGGTTTGCAAGGTTCAGGTAGGTGGCTCTGCTAGGGTCTTGTTATGCACCAAAATGAGCACAGGTCGCAATGTGTCAGTGGTTTGATAGAGGGAGGTCAGACTCACTTTGCACTGAAGACCGCTTTTTATGTTCTGGTAATGGTACAATCTGTTAACCAGAGAGGTCACAATGGTAAAGACCTGTTGTTATGTTAACAGGGAACGAGGCCAAAGATTATGGTGTTAACATGTCTATACTGGTAGAAGGCAGACTTGTTGAACTTGAACTGGTGTTCATCTGTTTTTTTTATGTTAATATAACATTTTAGCAAATACATGGTTTCAGTCATAACATCTAACTCCAGAACTCTTTAGATATGAATGTCAAAACGTGTACACTTTAAATGATGGTCGCTGTAGAAATGGCAAGCCACTGAGGATTTGGAAAATCACTATGATGTTGAGCCTTGTACTGTAGAAAACGTACTAGGGATTCATGTATATGTATTCATGTACACAAACTTGTTTTCAGTCAAAGAAAAATTCAGGCAGATTGCATGTGCAATTGATAGTATTGGCTTGTTGCCAACAGTACATTCCAAATTGACATAAAACCCATATCAGCTTGCATATTAGTACTGCACTTCCTGTAGCTAGCAGTCATTATTACATTTTTAAGATCATAAGTCAACAATTATGTCGATGACAATTGTATCATGTTTCATTGTCAGTTATATTTAGAGTTCATTATTGGTTGACATTCACCTTTATCGTGAGGAAACATTGCTGTAGATGTGTTTTGTCTTATCTGTAGTACATGTATATAGTGATGGATGAAAATAGTCAGAGCATTGTTGGAAAAGGGCCCAATCTTGGCAAGTTTGCTGGCAGCCTGCATGCTGTGCTATCAGAGATAGCAAACCCACATTTTCCTGCAAGATAGCAAGACAAACATAGATCAGGACTTGTAAATGCTGATGAAGGTTAGACATCCATAGAAATGCTAAAAGTTGATCGATCAATATAACTGAACAAAGAAAGTACATGTAGACACAGACCCACTTATTAAGTTTGTCTCTTTAGTGTCATAAATTGTAAATATTTACAAAGCATTCCAGAAACTTACAGAAGCTTAAAACGATAGATAATTGAGGTTTTATTTTACTTTAGATGTTTTTTTTTTCTTTCTTTTGGAGTTTGGTGAGCATGTAAGACTGATCTCTCCTCTTCAATTTGCTACATGTTGTCAGGGGTCCAAAGATGACATTATACAATTTGTCATTCCCTTGAAATCTTTTGACACCTTGGGGAAAACTATTCTTCTCTGTAACATCAGATTAGATTGGATTTGAGATTGCTGAGCTGTATACATCAATAAAATATAGAACCATGTGGACTGAATGTACAATGATTGATCCAGACCCCTCTCATGGTCACCAGATGATGATGATGATAATAATAAGTTCGTTCTTCCATGTCTGTAAGATGGATGCCTGTTGTGAATGGCATTGAAAGGCCACATCTGGACATGTTACCAGGTCAATCACTGGTCTGGCAGTACATGGGGAAATTCGTCTGTTCCCTGTTCGTGGGTATAGGAAGTATTTTATTATGTTTACCAAAGGAAAACATATTGTTTTCCTCAGTTTCTTTCTCTTTTTCCTTGTCCTCTCCAAACCAATAAGGTCAATGACCTGAACCAGAGGTCTGTCACCATGGTAACTAATGTTGGGTTACATCATGTTGCAATTTCATAGCAGGAGGGATTTAGACTCTATATAGTTCATGTTCCTTGTGCATAAAGAATAACAAATATTTCAGTACCAAGGACATACACTGATTATCACATACACTTTATGACCTCTAAACAGAGAACTATTTCCTTCAACTTAGGATGATTTAAGTGGTCCTCATTCATATGTTGGACAAAGAAGTATTACACAAATGTCCAGACATTGCTGCTCACCATGTATAAGTTGCCCTTGGCGCCTTGTGTGATATAAGTTGTCAGGTCCATTAGTTAGCTAATGGGTTGTGTTGGAAGATGGCCTGTGCCTTTTGAGCTTCATATGTCCAATTTTGTCTTAATGATTTAGTGATCAAGGGTTTGACTGTGTGGCATGTTTGTTTGGGAGGCAGGTGTCCTTACTAAGGACATACAAATGTCATTATTTGCTCAACTTATTGCTCTGCTTTGACCAAACTGAAGCAAAAAACACACCCATTAAATCAGTTACACTTACTCAGTTTCGTCGTGTGAAATAACCATATAATGTACAAGCTGTTTACTTTGTTCAAGGGTTCAATACCTGTCCTTGGTGCTAATATCTGTCCTTGGTGCTGATCTCACATCTGTGTATTACACACATTTGTTATCTTCTGTTGATCCATTTGAGGAATACTGCAGCACTTTACTTGATATTGAGTGCTTCACTCCAGTACCTTGTATTGCATAACAATCACTATTGTGTACTCTTGAGATCTCTGAGTTATCTAACTTCAGCAATATGGCCAACAGCTGTTAGACAGAATCAATGTAATGATCACAATGTTGATACAAAGCTTATTGATCATAGATACCATGTCTACTAGTGACAGGGATAGTACATTGATGAACAATGCGGGTTTGCTAGCATACTTAGGCCACACCAATTTGATTTGTTGGTTCTTGGATTTTTAGCTTCATTTTTTTTCTGAATTGCAAAAAAAAAACAGGTCTGAATCAACTCTTAAATGCTCATCTTTTGGCTCCTACAGTTGATGGAAGTCACTTCTCTTCAGAGTTAATGTTACATTTTTTCCATCCATCAATGCAGTGGTTTGATTAAAAGTTTGAAGTTCATTGTTTGAATTAAAATTCAGCCTGGTATGTTGACATCATGGCTCCTATTTTTAATTTTTTTTCACCCTGCCACTTCATATTTTTTCTGAAAAAAAAATCAGAGAACCAATAAATCAATTGGTGTGGCCTTAGGGATAATTCAGAGTTATTGTTGGACATTACCACATTAAACAGGCAGGGGCTAAGCACTTTAATAACATGCTATTGACAAGCACCAACATTTAGTACCTTACAAAAGAATATTCATTGAGTAACAGAGATGGCATAGGCTGTTTCCCACATGGGAGCAGTTATCTGGCTTGAGATCTAGCAATGGTCAATTTTCCCCAAGGACAGTTGGGTCATTAAGTAGTTACGCCGCGTACTAGACACCTGTCGTCATTTAGCAGGACGTTGTTGGGAGAGGTTATTGGCAGTAGCGATGGCCGTTTAACCACAGGGAGATCAAAACTGATAGGATGGCGTAGAAAAAAGCGGCAAGTCAGCACAGCAGAACCCATCTATACAGATAAAGACCTAATTGAGGCTTCAGGCTGAAACTGGTAATTAGAACAAGACTGAACATAATGGCTGTCCTCTTCCTGCCTTTGGGATAATTACCTGCCTCTTTGATGTGTATAATTGCGTTGAGACAGGGAGGGTTCTTGACACCAAAGCGGGCAGTTATCTTTATTGTTCACAGGACGTAATTATCTTGAAAACAACCTATCCTAAACACAGGTGTTGTTAAGTGATCTTATGGTTCTTTCTGCTACAACTTCACTACTTTGTGTCCAGCAAATACGCATCACTCAATGTGAAAGATACCTGTCCTTGGTGCTGAACACCCAATAGTTAGAGAAGAGCTGCAAGAATGTGGAAAATTGTTGAGTATTCTTATGGTTCTCTCTGCTGCAAATTCACCACTTTGTGTCCAGCAAATACTCATCACTCAATGTGAAAGATACCTGTCCTTGGTGCTGAACACCCAGTAGTTAGAAAAGAATTTGGAAAAGGGTTGGAAGATAATATTTCACCAAGTTGGAGTGCTATGAATAAACGTACATTGGTGAAAACCTGTTGAAAATACCCTATGTTTGCATCTGAATTAACATCATACTTTCCAGACATTTGTATTATGTTTGATATAATGTATCCAAGTTGTTCTTTATCTTCTGTTCTACCCTAGTACTGAATTTGAGCTCTTTGCAGTTGCCCCAACATCTGATCACGTTTTTTCTTCTTTTTTTACAGCCTTAAAGCCCAAATTTGCTGCAAGTAAACAGATCCAGGACCTGAGCAAGCACTTTGTCATGGTTAATGTTGAGGTGAGTGCAACAAAGTTATTTTTGTTTGTGTCATATACATGGTTAACTTCTACATAATGTAAAACACCATTCCTGTGCATGGTAAGTAGAAAAACACAAGGGGGCATTACACTGTAGGTCATGCCACCCACTCCTGTTGATAAGTGTGGTTGGATCTGTAATGTGCTTGAGATATGGCTCTCTTCAAATGCAGAACTCTTGTATTGAGGTAACATCTGAAGTGCTTAACAATTTAGTGTGCACAACCAGATTTTGTTTCCGACAAGTTCCGACAATAATTGCCAATCTTCAAGTGTACAGAGGCTAAATGTGATGGGCTGAATAAAAGTTCTAAATGAGAACTATGCAGCTTCAGATGTATTTCTAAGGTACGGCTACAGTGTGCTAGATGTCAGTAAGTGTAAGGAATGAATCCACTCCACTATATATCAGAATCATTGTTCCTAAATATCTTGTTAGGAAGTCTGCAATCCTGCCAAGGACATAATGCATACAAATCCGCACCTATTCTGTAGTCATGTATCATCAGATACAAAGTATCACTGAGCTGTGTAGATTTTTACCCGGGCTCCAGTGTTCAACCATGGCTGAAGAAGTATTTCCTACCCTGCTACGAGCACAGGTGTGTTTATAAACTTGACTACTCACCAATTACAAGCCTCATTTGGCCGGGTCGAAGTTAATTCTTCAACTGTTTGCTTTTTGGGGGTCAGTGAGAGGGGAGAGTTTCTCAAGGGAGATGAATCCTGGGGGTTGTCTCAAACTTTGCACGGCTTTTCAAAACAAACACAATTGGCCCATGGGGACTTTTAGGGGTCTTTTATATAGGGGGTCAAGTCACACCTTAAGCATGCTAAATAGCCCAACACTTATTGATAATATCAGGTTTATGCATGCTATGGATATCAGATACCAGCATAGATTGTACTCTGTGTGATGTGTATTGTTTGTCAAATTGTATGATTCTAGAAACTGACTGCACCACCTAAACAGTAGGTATCCATCCATGATGTACGTGTAGATAAAAAGATGGACAACCGGACTTGAGGTATCTTAGTAGCCTAAAATTCAATACACATCGCTAAAGGTGGTGTGAAAGTAGAGAATGTGTTGAGAGAGTGTGCGTACCCTATTACAAAAACAGACTACCTCAATGCCAAAAAACAGTTACTGAAACAACTGTATATGATTTTGGGAATCATATCCAGTTGCTTGAGTAACTGTTTTTTTTTTGGCATATCTTAGTACCTTGATGACAGACTGACTGACAGTAGTAGTATTACAAATGTACCTGGATGTCTAACCTTCACCGACGTAGACTACCTTTACCTTTCACGAACTCTCTGAACTGGTGAAAAATTTGTTCGGGTGCTCCTGTAATTTACGAGCCAATCCCACCAGGGTCACAGCTGTTCTCTTCCTTGGCTCTGGGATTCTCCAGTTCAATTTACCGTGGTACAGATTGATGTTCTGCTTATTTGGTTCCATTAACCTTTGCATAGTCTGTGAACAAGAAATATGTGCCATTGTGGGGTGTCTTGATACTCCATAGGTAAGGCTTCTATCCACAATGTATGTACGACAGGTGTGTCTATAGATGAAACAATGAATGAATGACTATGTCTTCTCAAAACAAAGCAGGCTTGTATTTGCCCACAAATGTGGAATATTTCCATGCTTTGTGAACAAGAAATATGTGCCATTGTGGAGTGTCTTGATACTCAATACGTAAGGCTTCTATTGTATGACAGGTGTGAGTGTAGATAAAGCAATGAACAAATAACCATGTCTTTTGAAAACATAGCAAGCTTGTATTTGCCCACAAATGTGGAATATTCCCTCTCCATTCTCTATCTCTATAAATCGCTACATCTGGAAGGAAATAAAAGAATTGATGAGATGAAATTTTGCAAAAACAGTTTTTCTCTTTACAAGTGTCTTTCTGATATATTTTCAATTATATATGATAGATTGCTGGATTATTAATGTTGCCAAGTTTCTACATTTTGTTGGCCCTGTGTGAAAGGCACAGATCAGGTTGTATTTCATGATATGATCACCCTAAGCACTGCGCTCTTGAGTGACCTATTTCAAGTACAACTCTGGGCCCTGATACCCTAGTGGGTTTTACTATAAATAGAACAGGTTTGTTATATGAGCTCTCAGCCAGACAAGGTGTGGCAATCCCTCAGGTACGTCTACCATCTTGGCCTCAAATGATCTAAATCCCGACACTTGATGACATTAGCAGCTCATTTCAATTCCTTGAAAGCTTTATCAGTATATTAGTATGCCAACATAGTGCAAAATTTACACACAAGTGCTTTTGTCACTCCCTTAGCTGGAATTTTCTTTTATATGCTCCCATTTGCTGCAAACTTGATTGTGATTTTATTCTATAGGGAGATTTTACGAGGACAATGTTTGGGTTTCAGTCAAATTGATGTTTGTCTGATTCCTCATTTGCATTCCCAATGTGTGACCAGAAGTCAGAATTCTAAATCACTGCATTCTTTAGCTAGAATTTCCTTTTTATGTTTACCAAGGAAAAAAAAATATATTGTTTTTGGAGCTTGGTTTTTGCCCTGTTTCCTCTTGTTCTTCTTCTTCTCCAAACCAATAAGGTCAATGACCTGAACCAGACGTTTGTCACTATGGTAACTAGTGTCGGGTTACATCATGTAGCAATTTTATAGCAGGAAGGATTTAGACTCCTGTCACCATATACATGTATATATGAATGTGTTTGAATAAGCATTAACCAAGCAGACCATATGCGAAGGTAAACATTATGCATTTACTTTGCAAAAAAAATAAATGTATTTCTGGTCGTGCCAAAGTCATGTCTAAGTTTTCTCCTGTAGTGAGAGGTTTTCCCACACGAAAATGCGGCCAAATTTGGCCTGTACGATTTGTCTGCCTCAGAATGTGGCCACGGGCCTCTCAGCCAAAGCCGCCGTTCCCAAAATGCAATAAGTCATTGCCTTGTGTTCCGACCCTGTGAGCAAGCCTGGCTGACTGATGAAATAGGTCACTGGCAATGTCCTGATTAAGAGGTCATACAGATGATGTAAATCTTCTCTCGGGATAAAACAGCAACCGTGGGACTTCCTAAGTTCACCAAAATAGACCAGGGCTCAAAATTCATTTTGGGTAATTGGTGCACTGGTGCATCCAACTTAAAGAATTATATTGGGTGCACAAAACATTTTTGGGGTGCACCATATAAGTAGAATGTCAGCAAAAACTTATTATATTTCATTTCTAAATAAATATACTATAATAATAATTATCTTTTTACCCTTAGCTATGAAGAATATGCTGTATGCGAAGTTAACATCTTTACATACGGAAACCTCATAAATATTTGGGTGCACTGTTGCACCCACAGAAAAAAATTGGGTGCAGTGTCAGCTCCAAATTTGGGTGCATTATCGTGCACGTGCTCCCAGTATTTTGAGCCCTGTAGACACAGACTAATCTAGATGTGGCAGACTCCAAATTCCCATATGTTTAACAAATGTAACAAATGTCTTGCACTGAAGGCAGCCGTTTTGGGATATTGCCTGGAAGTCAAATGCATTCGTCTTAATCTTCTCTACAAGTAACACACATGACATGGTACAGTCATGCCTGTTTCATTATATAATGTATAGTCATCTCGAAATTAACCTGTACATCTGGTCCTTTCTGAGACAATGTTTTGAAATGTTTCTGTCAGTTTATGATGTGCTCAGTGTGTGTAATGTGTGATATGTGCATTAAGTAATACACATATTCTGCAAGCAGGGATAGTATACATTGCAGATTTTGAAGTCCAATGATCAACTAGCAATGCTGGGACTTGTCCACATTTACTAAGTTCACCTCCCCAGAATAGAGTTAAAGTAGGTTACATAGGAGCAGCCATTCTCTTGATTTGGTTTTCAAATGTCTTGAAACAAAGTCGTAGCCACGTTTGGGACATCGCCAAAAGCCAAGAGGGATCAGTCAGAATCATTTCTGCAGGACATGTACAGACACGAAGTCACGCTTTTGAGAAGACCTGTTTCATAATGTTATAGCCTAAATGAACCCCTGATCTTTTTGAGACAGCCTTCGGAAATGTTAGTGTCAGTTCACGATATGTTCAACGTGACTGGGTAAAGAGGGCAGGGAAGACGTGTGTTGCATTCAGATTTTAAGATATTTCACACACACAAAAAAAAAAAAGATTCTGAAATTAAAGTAGATTTTCTAGTCTTGTGATTAATCACCAACACCCACACTTTGCTAAGTTTACCAGAAGAGAAATAACAAGTTATATGCATTTTTATGTACATATTTTATAAATCAGTGAAATGTAGATTTGATTTTCTATTCTGGATCAAACAACATCGATCTCTGCAGCTGGGTAACTTTGCCAGAATAGAAGTCAATGGATTCAAATATAAGAGCACCCCAGCCTTGAATTCTCATCTGTTTTACAAATGTCTCTCATTGATAGATGCCATTCAGGGCCAGAAGCCAAAACGAATCAATCATAATTATGTATATGGGAGACACACAGTCACAGAGTCGTGCCTTTGAGAAGACCTGTGCTTTGTAACTTTACACAGCATGAACTTATGCTCTTTTCTGAGTCAGCCTTTTGGAAATGTTAGACAAAAGTGTCAGTTCACAATGTGCACAATGTGACCGAGTAAAAGGAGGCTGAAGGTCTAACATGTGCAAAGCATGCACAGATCTTACATAGAGGAATTTCAAAGTCCCAAGACAGAATGGCAGCACAGGGACTTAGCAAAGTTTACCTGTAATAGGCAAAGAACACACTTATCCTTGATTCCCATATGTTTTACATTGTCTAGTATTGAAAGAAGTAACTTTAAAGAAAACACAAGAGATTCCTCATAATCACTTCTACTGGAAACACATGGTCACAGTGTCATGCTTCTTACACATTGGTAGAAGACTTGCTTTTCTGATGCTCAGGACAAACTTGTGTGTTGCAAGGATGAAGG